GTCTCACATGAGCACGTTTTGCTTGAGATTTCCTGTGTGTTTTCGACTCCAGGATTTAAACCAGAAACACACCTGTATCACAGAGCTCATCCTGGTTTTCCCTGAGCTGTCATTCATTCCCCTCTGCGTCAGTCACCAGGAGTTCATGATGTCACCGATTAATTTCCGTACAGCTGTTAATCTGTGAGAACAGTGGTGAGGGAAGCGAGCATGCGGTCGCTTTGTAAAAGCAGAAAAACCAGTGAGCTCACACATCACATCTTCCCTCAGTAAAACAAACTACAAATGACAACATCAAGGAGTGACATTAATATGAATCATCACTTGTATATCGGTCAGTTTCACAGCTCCTGAACAATGAGTCTATCATCCGATATTTCGGTGTGTCAGATCCAAATTTAATCAGTGGTGGACGTCTGCTGCTGCTCAGGTCGGCCCTGTGCTGCCACTACAGGCTGCTTCCAATTAAATGTGATCAAACATTCAGTTTTAGTCATTCAACTTTAATTACTTTCATACATTGGCAGCTAATTAGCCTCAATAAGCAATTTCAAACTACTTGGAATTAATTAAATAAACCCTGATCTGATCACAGAGGAAGAAAGATTTTAACCTGCCAGCCAATGCAGCGATCCATGTCCAGTACAGCCTCTGTGAGTGGCCCTGTGCTGAGCACGTGGACCAGGAGCTGCAGCTGCCTCTGATCAGACACTGGCCTGCAGGAGCTGAAACCAGAGCTCACAGGTGTCACTGCTAACCAAGCTACCCGAGTTCCAATGAGCAGCCAGCCTTTGACTTTCACCTCCCATCATCATCTAAATTCAATCAATCAAGTCAAGAGACGAGAATTAGTGTGACTGCAGACTGTTGGTCTGATGGGACGGATCCGAATTTAAATGCTGATACTGACACTTTATAATGAGAAAAGCCCATATTGAACAGTAAAGCCCGATGCAAACTGAAGCAGAACCCGTTTAGTATCAGATGAGCTGAGGACGGAGCAGCTCAGCTCCACATCCTCCTGCAGTCTCTCCATCAGCTCCACTAAGCCTGCCTCTCTTCCCTCCTTTGCATCGCCATGGCAACATGTAGGTAGCGGTCATTATTCTTAATGGCTTCTGCGGGCCTCTCAGCGCGCGTGTCATGTAACGGTTGCTGCAGAGTGGTATCGTCAAACACTTCCACTTCAGTGAGCCCCACACGGCGAAGGCTGCTGCTGTGTGTTGCCCATGTCGTTGTGCAAGAAGCGCTCAGCGGAGCTGCAGATAGCAGAGATTATCAGGCAGCATTTAAGACGAAGATGCTGCAGAATGTTTGGTTGTGAGCACAGCCTGTTACAACACACTCGATTCCACCGAAGACTGAGCAGTCTGCTTCCATTGCTCTGACACTAAACTGTTGAGCTGTTAGCCAAACACATTCAACATGTTCAGTAGTAATGTTCAGACCCTTCAAGACCTTTATGCATCATCGGTAGTTAATGACGATGGTTAAGTAAAAAGATGCAGCAAGTCAATGTCAGAAATGTTGAATCACACAGTGCCGTCTGTGGTGATTTCTCTTACACGGTCTATGAGCATCAGTTTGTGATTTTTAGTAGCAAATAAGAAAAATGCAGGGACAGAAATATGCTCTGGACCATTAGTGGATTTGTCTGAGGTGTGTATCTTTGACTGCACGTAGCTGTGATGATCCTGTTGGAGGTCGGGGGGTGGCTCGGCTCTGCTGGGGGCCACCTATTCTTTTCCCGGTTAAATGTTTTCTAGGGAGTGTTTCTGAATCCGATTCCAGGCTCTAAGGACAGAGGTGTCATCTTCTGTACAGACTGTAAAGCACCTTGATGTGTGATTTGTGAATAAAATCTGACTCGACTCATTTCAGTAAACCTTCAGTCGAATCATCTCCTGAACTGCAGAAGCTGTGTGTTGTGGTTTGTTTTTTTCCTGCAGTACTGCACAGCCAGCTGTGGTGAGTCTCACATGCACACACACACACACACACACACACACACACACACACACACACACTTTACATTCCTTCATCTTTTTTCTCTTTTTCCTCACCTTCGTCCTCCCACGCCTCCATCTGTCTGTCTGTCCTCGTTCTCTCTCCTCTGGATGATTAATTTGCTTCAGTGGAACAAACCTCGGCTACTCCCATTTTACACACACAAGTACTGTGCTAAATCAAACACGTCTGCAGGCGTCTGAGCGCAAACACATCACCAGTGTGTGGTGATGTACTGCACTGGCCCAGTGGGATGAACTGAGGAGACCAGCACAGGACAAGTCCCATTTTACTTTAGCTGTTAGGACCCTCAGTGACACCATGCAGCACCTCACCCTCATCTCATCTGAACCCTAGAGCCAGGTCTGAACCCCCAAACAGCCCTCTGAAGGTGTGCGCACTGGACAACATGCCCTCACTCCAGTGGTCTGAAACTCACAATGTACTGCACGTTTCAGAACTTTGAAGACAGGCTTGTAACGTCTTCCAATTTTCTTTTCAACCTTTCAAATCCCAGTTTTACTGTTACAAACTGTTCTGCTGATGCTACTTCAGACCACTGACGTGTCAGGTCACTAGCCCAGCTCAGGTGTTGTGTGGCACACTGCAGGTATGAACGAGGATAAGCGAGACGTAGGTGTAGGTGACAACAGCTGGATTGAACTGAACTGGACTCTGAGAAAAATGCCATCGCCACCCTCTGAAAGTGTGAAAAGCAGGAGGTGTAAACAGCGTACCTGGCAGCACTGAAACCGCTGCAGGTAAAGTAACACCACTCGCAGCTCAGCGGCAGCTTCTCTACAGGACACGATTCTTGTTTTCTCAGCATTTGACTATTTCCTTAATGTGAACTTCCCTCACAGCACAAGAGACACAGGTTCATATCAGATTTACACACAGCACACACCTACAGTACTTAAGTCTAGAGGATGAACTTCTCACGCAGGTTAACGTCACGTCAGCCTGTGCACAGTCATCCCCTAACCCGAAACACAACTCGTCTGTTGTGTACTCCGTGTAGAGCAGACACAACTGAGTGACAGTGCCCCCCATGTTTGAAACCACTGTGCTGGGGGCAGAGCTCAGAGCTTTCCATCACAGTATTCAGCAGGGTACTGGGGGGTTACCTCGACACACTGATCTGGATTTCTATGCACCTCCTAAATACATCCAACCAACACACAACTCATCTTGACAGAGAAGTGACGCTGCTTTCTATCACAGTATACTGCAGGTCTACATTCAGCAGGGTACTGGGGGGTTACCTCGACACACTGATCTGGATTTCTATGCACCTCCTAAATACATCCAACCAACACACAACTCATCTTGACAGAGAAGTGACAGCACAGACTGAGCTCATTCGCCATCCTCCAACACTGTCGCACTCACATTGGGCTCGTCTTAAAAAAGCATTAAACCAGAGCTATCACCGTCTCCACTCCACACGTTCTTCTTCTCGTTACGCCTGGTGCCTACATTACCCACAATGCTGACTCAGTTGACACCTCTGTCTTGCTGCAGCAGCAGCACTGAGATGGTGAATCAGCACTCACCTTTAAACGTCAGCAAACCCCTCTTCAACTGTTGACAGTGTATATGATCATCACTGCGCTCAACATCGCCATCACATTCAGGGATTTTTCCTGAACCTGTCACAAATTACCATCAGGTGCCCAAAATGTCACGTCACTGCAACTGTTCACTTTAGCAGGTGTTTCCCAAAGCTGATGGGTGTTAATGTGAATGCACTTCTGCTTATAAGGACCCGGTGCCTGCGCTGAGCACGTGTGGACAGAGACAGAGCATAAAAAGAAGTGCACGTTTACTGTGACTGAACATTAATACTGACTGAAGAAACTAGTGACAGACCGATTAATCAGGCTGATATCTGGTGTTTTTAGGTAATCGGCACCGTCCAATGTCTGATTAACATAAAATATCTGCAATCAACTCCCTGTTTAAGTCATTTAGTTTTAGTACATGTTCATTTAAGTTCAGTGTCTCATTTGTTATTATTAAATTGTTGTTTTATCTGAAAAAGAAAACCCCCCACACACTGTCACCACTCGACATGGGCCACCAGCCTCCCAGCTGTCTAACGACCGGCACCGCACTGGCCAGTGAAAAACCAGTCGACCACTAGAAGAGACCAACAAACATTTCCAAAGTGCAGCCACAGAGTCTTCTGCAGCCAAATCCTCTGTCATTTCACTCAGTCCCTCACATTCTGCTCTGGTGAGACCTGTGATTTACAAACACCCTCTCCTTCCTCACACGTGTTCTAAACGCCGCCGACGTCTCAGATGAATAACGTCTGCCTCGCTGTCAGAAGGGCCGCAAATTTTAAACCTGCTTCTCCTGACCTTAAATATCAGCCACAGCTCCGTCTGCAGCAGGCATCAGTGTGTGGTGGTGAATCTGGTGCTGAGGGGATTTAGACACATTTGCATTCTCTCCTCCTTTGTTTTGTGTCCTTTAAAACACACAACACAAATGTGCAGCTTCCAGCAGTGCTGCTGTTCCAAACTGCGACTCCCTGGTGAATAAAAACACACACAATTTCACTGTTTAGTGCCAAAAAACGAGGTGCTAAAGCTCAGAAAATATCCCCTTTAGAATTCAAAAGCTGCCCTCAAGGTTTCTTTCTTCAGCTAGAAACCATTTAATTCCATAGAGTGGAAATGGAAAACAATGAGAACACTGACAATCTGGTTTCTCTGATCACTCCCTCAGGAAAATAGAAGGAGAGGTCATTCCTCCTGTTTTATTAAATCATGACTTATTGCTCGGGGCTCCAGAAATATTTCAGTGACAAAGAGCATGCGAAGGTCAAAAGTGCAGGAAACAGGAAGGCTTAACCGGCAAAGACAACAACAGGAGCCGCTGGGTTTGTGCTCAGAAAAGACTGAAAACTGAAGAGACAATTTAGAGATGGAGGAATCAAAGTGCTTCCTGCTGCTGAGAAAAGGATGGCGTGAGAGCAGACTTACTTTTTCCTGGTGTCGTATCTTCCTGCAGTTCCCAGGCTCTGTGAAGGAGACACAGCAGAAAATGATCAGACTCTATGCAGGATCATGCAGCGCCATCACACACATTACAGCCCCTCCTCTGTCCACTCAGAACTACTGTCCCTACTGAGGAAAACACATTGAAGCCAACAGAACACTGAAGGTTTCACATACATGCTGCTATAGGCAGGAAACTAATCCAACACCTCAGGTGCAGCTGCAGTGTTCACCCATTCACTGACTTACACTGGGAACCACTGCCTGTGATGAGCGGTCTGGGCTGTGTCGTTTCCATGTTTACCCATCTGACAAGAAGAAAGTGCCACAAAACAATAGTTTTTCCACCTCTTGTATTTCACACCGTCAGTGTTCATGGCTGTTTCCATCTGTCTTGAGACCTGCCTCAGCACTGACACCCAAGCTAACATCGACTAGCTGGTTGGTAAAGTTAAGAAGCGGGAGTTATTTCAGGTGAGTGAACAGCTGCGGCTCACCTCTGCACAAGAGCAAACGATGTTAGAAAATACCCATTTCCCTGAAGGACCCCCAGAGACACAAGGAAGAAGGGACATAAATACAAGAGTGAAGTCAACTACAACTCCCAGACTGCACTTCACTAACAACAATTACACAGCTCTCGTTAAGAAGTTTACATTTGTTCACTTTCAGATTCTGGATCAGTTTGGACTCACTGTCATCTTCTCCAACAGCTGCCGAGGTTCATGGGTAATATAGTTTTGATAACAATCCACTAAACTGACAAACAGACAAGACGTCTCAGAATGAACACCAGAAATAATCCTAACTTAGGCGTCAGAACATAAAAATAAAGTCTTTCAGCCTTTGTAATCAGGCCTGCAGAGAACTGAACCACAGCCACCAGCTCCAGGTCAAACATCCAGCCCATGCAGAGAAAATCTCAGGGACAAAATGGAAACTGAAACCAACGTGTTCAAAAATGCACTTAATGAAAAACTATCTGGATGAACTGGCCTCCACCTTAACACTAAATACGCACTATATGTAAACTGCTGCACCAGATGGACGTTCCACATGTGCCAGTAAGATGCAGCCGGTTAAACATGTCGCTGAGAGGCCCTGCTCTTGGTTCATACTACCACTACGCAGCATTGCGTTGCCTGCGCCAACCCACTCACGTAGTGTGATGTCAATAAAAACAACCACTCAGTGAAATGGACAGCTGCTCGGTGTGTGTTTGTGTGTGGGAGGAACGTGAATGGCTTGGCAGGTGGCTGCTGTTACTGTCGGCTTCCCGATGCGTAGACACAGATGTAATAAATGTTAGCAGCCACTGTGCTGCTCCTGCAGCCTGAAGTGCCCAGTGATGTGTTCGACCTCAGAACTAAAGTGTGTTGGCTCTGGAATATCATGGATGACAGGTGCAGTGAAGAGAGGAGGGGTTGGTTTGATTTGATGGAGGGATGGTGGAGTCTAAGCGATGTGGGGTAAAATACTCCGTTGCCTTGACAACTGGAGACAACACTGGGGGAAACCTGTTGTCTGCACACAAGAACTCGCTTCGGCTCTCTGGTCTCCTCCTGCCCGTTCTGCTCAGGGACACTGGAGACGGCTGGAGAGGCACAGACAATGCACTGCCCTGCAGGAATCCTGCACATCTGTGTCTGTCGACGTGCTGTGACGATGAAGCCGTCTCACACAGGATCTCTGCAGGTCACTGCCATGCCGCCGGCTCCCGTTTCTCCTGCTTCTGTTTCCCCATCTTACATGCTACATTTGGAGTCATGTACTTGTTTCAAGCACCTTCAGGTCAACACACCCAATAAAGGCCATCCTGAGATCTGGCACCACGATCAGCAGGACGACATCATTTATCACTGTGGCACCGGTGCAGACTCTCTGGTGTCGCATCAGCACTGGCGCTGACACTAACGCCCCGAATCCAGATTTATGAAGCACCTCACATTAGTGGTGTTTGGGAGCAAAAGTCCTTTTAAACAAGACATGACTATGTAGTTTATACAGCAGATTTAATTTTCGGCAGGACCCAAGGCTTGTACTTCACTTTATGAAACGTCTTTTTAAAAAAACTCTACTACAGTTTTATTTTCCCAGCTCTTTCTTTCATACCAGTGCTACGTTGGTGCTTTAACTCCTTTTATTTGTATTAGTGGCATTTTATGTAGTTTTTTTAATCCTTTTGTTAATGTAGGTGTGGATTTGTCTTAATCTTTGTTTTCCTTCATGGACCGTGCACTATACCTAAATAACAGAGAATGTTTGATTTGCTTTACATTAAGGCAAACATGTAAAATGTGACCTTCCACCTTGGCTCCCGACAAACAGGAGTCCTATTTGACACAAGACTAAACGTCCTTTTCACCCATTTTCTGCTGAGGACAGACTCAGTTTAGATGAAAGGTACACATGTACAATTCATCATGTTCTAATGAGCTTCACTGAAGGAGGCGTTCTCTAAACTTCAGCCTGGCTGCCTACCAGTGTCGGTATTTTAATGGTGGTTCAGATTCAGATTTGAGCTGCACAACATGTTCTATCATTCCAGTGAATGTGCAGCCCTGCTGGAGACACTCTCCGACAGCATCAGAAACTCTTTAGAGTGACTGCAGACAGGGAGAAATGTTATTAGTGAAAATCTTCTCCCTCCTCTCCTCCATCAGCTTTGTCCCCAACCGGCTCCATAGATGAGATTATCAGTCAACCCACAGGACTGCTCAGTGCTGCCCGAGAGCAGCTACACACAGCACAGCAGGCCTTCAGTGTCCAGCCATATCACTTAGGATCCAAACAAGTCCCATGTTTTCAAGTTCATTTCCTGGAAACTTTCTAGAAATTAGCACTCTGAAACAAAAATGAAAGGATTTCCAATGCAGCTGAAAATGATAAGTAAACGTGAAATTCAATATCACGCAATACAAACATCAGCTGAGTATTTACTGACTAACAAGCAGCTCAAAGGTATGAACAACCAAAACTCAGAATGTCTGATGAATACTGACGTCGGCTTAGGAGCTATTCATCACCCACCTACTGCAGAATTTGACTCCTTAAGAAAAAAACAAGTTCTTCCTGGTTAAACCTGAGGTGTCTGTCGGCGGGGTCACCAGCCGGCTTCACCTCTTTACCTCTGTCTCTGTTGCTCACTCACTCGTTCACCTCAGCCTTCCTCTCAGTCCATCTGTACCTGCTGAAGCCTCAGACTTTAATATGTCAGCTTCACTTTTCCTTCCTGTTTCTAAAACTCTGAATCAAATCATATGTCAATTTCCTGCCAGGACATCTGCCGGCACCAAGGTTCTCTCTCTTTTAACCTGATACAAACTTCACAGGAGGGGCAGCGGCCACATGAAACAACAGCATAAACAATATCCGGTTAAGAAGCATAAAATCTATTTGAGTTATCAAAGAATAAACTAAAAGCTTTGAAAGTTATTGTCCAGCTCATTTAACATCAACTTCTGTTCATCTTCAGTGGTCACCTCTGACAAGTTCAAGTCCTGTGCATCGCTGAGGTCGAAGAGACAGTGATGTGAAAGTCAGAGAACTGAGCCACGGTGTTTTGTAGTTCTACACATGTAATGTACACGTGCACAGGTAAAGGCGAACCAAGCTAAGGCACAAAAATCAGTCAGTACGTCTGTGAACGTACTGTGAATAAGGTTTCAGCCAGTTTAGATTCTCCACCAGTACCATCAGGAGGCGTCTGATCAGACTCATCCTGCAGCCTGACACTGAGCCCAGACGCCCAGCAGAGTCATAAAGAACTATGTTTGGAGCCCAGAAGGACCACGAGTCCCACAGCAGATGGTCTGGCCCTCGCAGACCCGTGACCTCAGCATCATGGAGTCAGTCTGGGATCACATGCAGAGACAGACGATGAGACAGAAAATACTGCTCTGCTTTAGGTGTGTTCTCTTTGCTGCACTTTGATACATGCATGCATTCGTTCTGAGAACATCCTCACTTTACATGTGCAGCATCCTCAGCCCTGTTCCTGCAGCCGTCATGTGACCTCTCTAACAGGGATATCACCACAGCGTCAGCGCTGCATTTCTAACCTGAACTGATATAACCTCCCTGTGTCTCTCACACACTCAGAGCAAGTCTGACCACAGACAGCTGAGCCCCCCCAGCCCGCGCTGCTTCTCACATCACCCTGCTAATACGAACAGGGCTTTATTTAGAGATTTGTCAGAGGCTGAACTGTAGCGGGCTTGTTGGCCTCTCCCTGGGTTAATTAGCCCAGCAATGCCAGCATTCATAGCGGGGCAACGAGCTGTCCGTGGCTCTGCCACCTCCAAGCGCTGGCTGGCAGGCTCGCCCACTGGGTGAGTGACAGGGTGACTGGTGTGGGCAGTGATTGGGTACATTATAGCTAATGCTGACTGGACTTCAGCACAAGTCAGACTAGACTAGGATGGAGAGGACTGAGCAGGCCAGAGCTGCACGTGGAAGTCACATACAGCAGCCACAGCAGTGTGTCCATGGGGGCACAACGATCATTACACAGGAAAGCAAAGTGATAACTCTGCTGCTTTTAGAGGTGATCCACCAGCAGGACAACCACTGTGTCCTCGTCGCTGACAGCTCCACACAGACTGTGGCTAATGTTCACGAGGAACACATAAAAATCCTTTTACTTATCGTTTCCACAGCCTTGTTGCCAAGTATCATAATATCACTAACCATCAGAGACATCTGGATCTTGTTCTTATAGAACAACAACTATTTTTACCTTCATGTTTTTACACTTTGTGCGGCTCTTTGAACAGGAAACATCAGTCGAAGCTCGAACAGGGTTGGAAACTGGGCCGTCTTGGCCACGATCTGTGAACTCCAAGTTAATCAAGAGACTTGAAACTTTAAAAGTGAAAAAATCCCTTCAGTTTGCATCATAAAGTCAACTGTGATTTCTGGGACATCTTGCCACGGTGCAGCGGAGATATGGGGACATGTTCTGGTTGCAGCTTCACAACCTGCAGACCCGCTCTGTCATTGTTAATCAAACATCTTCAAACAA